CAGATGCAACTTTCAGACGCCATCTTTCATTTTTAAGCTCAACCATCATGGAATGGAATGCACAGGATTGTGGGATATCAAAGGCAGCGAAGGACATCTATGCTGCCTTCAAAAATCGATCAGATGAAGGTATCTCATGAGACAGAAAGTAAAGCTATAACTTTGGATTCGGACGTGCCTTGATGCCTTCCTGGAATGCATCCTCCAAAGGCAGCATTTTTCAGTTTTCGGATGCAGTCTTTATTTCTGTGATGTATTTCCAACTGAAACTGAATATTGAATAGAGGGTGGAGTTTTATTTTCCTCCTCTCATCTCTGACTCATAGCAACCAAACGGCTGTGGTTAAGGATGTTCTGCCCAAGCCATCAAACTGACGTCATCAGAGAAGAAGTGCCATTTCAGAGCGGAAGAAAATGTTCAGATTTTGATTAAAGATTACCAAAACAAACTTTTTTTCCCCCCAACGGATTAACTTGCACAGATTAATTGTTCACCTCAAGACTAGCAATGTGCGCTAAGTAAATAAAGTAAATTTTGATTTCATGAGGTCGAGAAGAGGTGTAGTTGCGAATAGAGGAAGAAGGTTATTGTTTTTTATTAAGAGGGCATGTTAATTTTTTTTTTTAAATAATGATATGCACAGATTAATTATTTATAATAAACACTGCAATATTTCACAAGAAAATGGTAATTTCATAGTGACTTCTTGTGATTCAATCCTTAAACTCAAAGTATACATTTTTGTATGTTTATGCTAGCATATGCATACTGTCGAGAGCATAGCCTTTCAAAGTGTACTCCATTTGATAGCATACACGAATCAGACAGCTGACACATGCATTCTAGAAAGTTTGTCCAGTGTCTGCACTGTTTCTCTCCAGAAGGTATGACCGATAAAATAGCTTTGTACCCTTTTAAACTAAAGTTGTGGCTATCTCGTAACGCCCTCAATGTATATGTAGATGCCTCATTAGCAACTGTTCCTATGGGTTGCTATACGTAAGCCATCCACCATCTTGTAATGGTCAACTTGATGTCATTCACCATAGTAACCAATGAATATTCGAAGATGCCACAATTCTGCACAGCTGATGGTCTGTGAACGCATGGTGAATGACGTCAAGTTGACCATTCAAAGATGGCGGATGCGTCTATACGTGCTTGGAGCGGTCGAATGGGACATCTATACATATATGAGTGTTGCCACCTTGTGGAACAACTGATTAGTCCAAAACAAAATCTGCGCATATACAGTGGGTACGGAAAGTATTCAGACCCCCTTAAATTTTTCACTCTTTGTTATATTGCAGCCATTTGCTAAAATCATTTAAGTTAATTTTTTTTCCTCATTAATGTACACACAGCACCCCATATTGACAGAAAAACACAGAATTGTTGACATTTTTGCAGATTTATTAAAAAAGAAAAACTGAAATATCACATGGTCCTAAGTATTCAGACCCTTTGCTGTGACACTCATATATTTAACTCAGGTGCTGTCCATTTCTTCTGATCATCCTAGAGATGGTTCTACACCTTCATTTGAGTCCAGCTGTGTTTGATTATACTGACTGGACTTGATTAGGAAAGCCACACACCTGTCTATATAAGACCTTACAGCTCACAGTGCATGTCAGAGCAAATGAGAATCATGAGGTCAAAGGAACTGCCTGAAGAGCTCAGAGACAGAATTGTGGCAAGGCACAGATCTGGCCAAGGTTACAAAAAATTTCTGCTGCACTTAAGGTTCCCAAGAGCACAGTGGCCTCCATTCCTTAAATGGAAGACGTTTGGGATGACCAGAACCCTTCCTAGAGCTGGCCGTCCGGCCAAACTGAGCTATCGGGGGGGAAGAGCCTTGGTGAGAGAGGTAAAGAAGAACCCAAAGATCAGTGTGGCTGAGCTCCAGAGATGCAGTCGGGAGATGGGAGAAAGTTTTAGAAAGTCAACCATCACTGCAGCCCTCCACCAGTCGGGGCTTTATGGCAGAGTGGCCCGACGGAAGCCTCTCCTTAGTGCAAGACACATGAAAGCCCGCATGGAGTTGTGAGATGGTGAGAAATAAGATTCTCTGGTCTGATGAGACCCAGATAGAACTTTTTGGCCTTAATTCTAAGCGGTATGTGTGGAGAAAACCAGGCACTGCTCATCACCTGTCCAATACAGTCCCAACAGTGAAGCATGGTGGTGGCAGCATCATGCTGTGGGGGTGTTTTTCAGCTGCAGGGACAGGACGACTGGTTGCAATTGAGGGAAAGATGAATGCGGCCAAGTACAGGGATATCCTGGACGAAAACTTTCTCCAGAGTGCTCAGGACCTCAGACTGGGCCGAAGGTTTACCTTCCAACAAGACAATGACCCTACGCACACAGCTAAAATAACGAAGGAGTGGCTTCACAACAACTCTGTGACTGTTCTTGAATAGTCCAGCCAGAGCCCTGACTTAAACCCAATTGAGCATCTCTGGAGAGACCTAAAAATGGCTGTTCACCAACGTTTACCATCCAACCTGACCGAACTGGAGAGGATCTGCAAGGAGGGATGGCAGAGGATCCCCAAATCCAGGTGTGACAAACTTGTTGCATCTTTCCCAAAAAGACTCATGGCTGTATTAGATCAAAAGGGTGCTTCTACTAAATACTGAGCAAAGGGTCTGAATACTTAGGACCATGTGATATTTCAGTTTTTCTTTTTTAATAAATCTGCAAAAATGTCAACAATTCTGTGTTTTTCTGTCAATATGGGGTGCTGTGTGTACATTAATGAGGAAAAAAAAATAACTTAAATGATTTTAGCAAATGGCTGCAATATAATAAAGAGTGAAAAATTTAAGGGGGTCTGAATACTTTCCGTACCCACTGTATACTATTCTGGTGGTGTGTGCACAGTATGTGCATACTATTGTGGTGACGGAATTTGCATCACGCGCACTGTACGCATAAAAAACAATGTATACTTTGGGCTTTACACAGAAAAACAAATGGACAAAAATAATTTTTTTTGTATTCTTTCTCTTCCAGCCATGGCTCTAAGGCCCACCCTCATCGTCGTTCTATTTCTGATTGGCTGCTGCGCTCTTGAGGACCCGCCCATGGTTAAGGCCCCGCCCCCTCCTCATGGGTGTGGCGCTACATTGGACCCGCCCTACAGAGTTTTGTGCGATCTGGAGTCCGTGTGGGGTGTGGTGCTGGAGGCCATAGCATGCGGCGGTACCATATCTGCTCTGATCCTGGCCATAGTTCTTTTAGCCAAGCTGAAAACGGTAACGGAACCGGAGAAGCGCTGTGGTGTCGGTCCCCTCCTCCTCCTATTGGCCGGAACCATGGGTCTCTTCAGCCTATCGCTGGTGTTCTTGGTGGGGCGTGGTGAGGTGCTCTGCATGGTGCGCCGCGGGCTGTGGGGGGTGCTGTTCACCATGTGTTTCTCCTGTTTACTGGTGCAGGGAGTGCGGCTGAAGAAGCTGGCGGGAGGGAGGCGGAGCCCAGCTGGCAGCTCTCTCGCCGGATTGGCTTTCGCGCTCACTGTGGTTCAAGGCATCATTGCTGGAGAATGGCTGCTGCTTACGGTGGTCCGCGAGGGACATGCAGCCTGCGATTACCTGCCTCTAGACTTTGTATTGGTGTGTAGCTACGCTCTAGTGTTGTTGCTAGCTGCCAGCATGTTGTCGTTGGCTGTGGTGTTGTGCGGAGGGAGCAACAGAGAGGAGTCGAGCAGGAAGAGTATGAAGTGGAGGTGCAACGCTGTCTGGCTTTTCCTCTCATGTCTGTCCTCGCTTCTGCTCTGGGTCGCCTGGCTAGGTCTCTATCTGTACGGAGACGCCGCCATCACGACCATGGCAAAGGATTGGGATGAGCCGGCATTAGCGGTTGCGTTGGTGACCGAGGGTTGGGTGCTTCTGTTATTTCACGCAATCCCAGAAACGCACATGTGCTTGCGTCCGTCCAGTCAGAGGAACGCAGACACCGGCCAGAACTACTACGACACCCCACAGCCGCCAACGGCACAAAGTTACCATGACGACGAGCGGCCGACCAATCCCAGAGCTCCGTTCGCAGAGAGTCAGGCATACACCGTAGAGGAGCACAGTGCGGGTAGGATGCCACACAAAAAAACATGTGCAAGGATAGTTTACGGTTCTGAAAATTAAACCTAAAATAACCATTAGAGAACGTTCTGTGTAGGTTATCTTTAGGTTGTTACAAAAGCCCTTCTGCAAAAGGTTACTTTATGGTTATAAAAAAGCCTAAAAATAATCATTAGAGAACATTCTGTAAACGTACCTAGGTTCTATTTGGGTTGTTACAAAAATACTAAAAACTAGCTTTTAGAAATCATTATGTGTAGGTTATTTTTAGGTTTACACACACACACACAAAATTGCCTGCAACATTCTGGAAAGGTTAGTTTTATGGCTATAAAAATAATGCCCAAATAAAACCTAAAAATAACCATTAGAGAACGTTCTGTATATGTTCTCTTTAGGTTGTTATAAAAAAAACCATCCTGCAGTGTTTTGGGAAGGTTAGTTTATGGTTATAAAAAAAAACAACTAAAAATACAATGTTCTGATGTTCTGTTTAGGTTGTTACAAAAACCTTCCTGCAACGTTCTGAGAAGATTAGGTTATGGTTATAAAAAAGTAACCATTTAACCATTAGGGAACATTCTATATATAGGTTCTCTAGCTTGTTACAAAAAACCTCCCTGCAACGTTCTGGAAAGGTTAGCTGATGGTTATAAAAACGTTTCTAAAACGTTATTATTTGGTTCTGCCAAAAGCAGCCCTTTGAGAACATTAGGAAAATGTTCTTTTGTTTGCTGAGGCGAAACATACAAAACTTCTGAAGCTTTTCAAAATCATTTAATTGCACACGTTTAAAAAATATATAGATTTTTTTTCATATTTATTCTATTTAGCCAGATTAGAGTTATTATACACAGATTTTTCAAATAGTTTTTCCTTTGTAATATATTGTCTTGTTTTGTCTTGTGCAGTTCTGCAGACTGGAGGTTATCATAACGGACTGATACGTCCCGCTGTGCCGTTCCGCAGTCACGTTTACCAGCCCACCGAGATGGCCCTGCTCATGAACGCAGGACCGGTCAGTAACAATACTACACATTAACAATACTTTAATGCCTAAGTCTCACAAACAATTCACCTCACGCTTTATGTTCCAGATCCCAACCGTCCCTCCAAACTTCACAGGGAGGCATCTGTGGTGAGAGCGGTTACCATGGCAACAATGTCCTCTCGGGCCCCTAAAAGGATTGAGTTCGGGTGCCTTCACGGGGTCAAAAGACACTTTATTAAAGTTCCATGTTAATCATTTGGAAATGCTCCTCTAATAAAAGAGCTGATTGAAGTTAATGGACATTTTCAACATGGGAGCAGGCTAATTTTGCACATGTTCTCTATCTCTAAGTGCTTAATACAAAATAAAGGACGTGCTACATATTCGATATCCCTCTGGTGATGTCTGTTTAGATTAAATGAATCAGACAAATCATACTGATGAGGACCTGTAAGAATTTACATAAACAGAGATGTGTGAAAGAGAGAGAGACCCATTTACTTACATAATGTGACGCGTCTCTGAGTGTGAGAGAATAAATGTCATTCGTTCATTTATTCAATGTGAACTGATTGACTGGAGGGGGCATTTGTGATGTCTGCCAAAAATAAAAAGCATATTATTTCAGTGGCCACTTTACAAAAAAACCACGCACAGATAAATTATTCAAAATGTAACCAGAAATGTGTATTAAGGAAGTATAAAGGGTCAGTTGTTTTCATGCTGCGATTGTGTGTGAGAGATTATTTCATTAAGTTCTAGCTTTAGAAAGTCTTCTGCCTGCATTCCACTTTAGATATATAATCAAAAGCTATCACTTTGAAATGTATTAAACTGTATTTCAGTTGTTTGAATTGTTTTGTATCAAGTTGTTCAATTAGCATCTTCTTTTTAAGCTTTTTTAAATGCGACCTATTAGCCTAGTTTAGTTTTGATATCACGTTTGATGTTTTTTCCAAACTTTGCACGCTTGATTGTCAGTCTTTATGATGCAGTTGATGGTATTCATCTATAAATGTTTGGTCTTGTAAGGCAATACTGTGTGATAACCGTGTCTGGAAGCTGCAGTCTCACAGAATGAGACATTTTAACAGGGTCGGCTCTTTATTCTGCTCGTGATGTTCAGATCTATTGCACAGAATCGTTGTATTTTTCCCTAGAAGTGATGTCTATATTTGAAACAAGTTCCAATAAACATTCCTACCGTGTTTTCAAAGCGTCTCTTGTCACTCTTTGCATGTCGCGTCGTGCGCATGCGCATACTGGCAAGTAGAAATAAGGAAAAATGGAATTCAGGGTCTTCATTTTAAGTTTTTAATAAAATGGGCAAGTGAAATAAAAAGTAACGTATTCTTTGATTTTATAAGAGATACAGGGTTGGTAAATAGAAACTCTGAAACTCTGTTTCACACTCCGGAGCAGAAGGTGGCGGTAATGCACCTATTTGCGTTGGTGCCAGCCGCCGTTAAAAACCAAGAAGAAGAAGAAGAAGAAGAAGAAGAAGAAG